TTTTTTGTAATGTTTTTCCTTGAAGCTAATATTATTTTTACACTCATGCAGGGGAATTGCTAGGACTGCCACTAATCCCTCCCCACACGGGTTCAACAGTCGAGCAAATGCGGTTCGGAGTTAATTTCGCCTCTGCTGCTGCCGGCATCCTCGACATAACCGGAAAAAATTTCGTGAGCCCTTTTCTTAAACAATAAATATAGAGAAAAAGCGGCAAAAATTTCGGTTCCCTCCCATTTTTGAAATTTTCACGTTTAATTTACCGGCAGGGGCGTTGGTGTTGTACATACAGGTCACGCTTATCCCGTTTAACGACCAAATCAATAACTTTGAGAACACTCTCGACCAAATCCTTGACGGGCTCGGTTCTAGCTCACCGGACGTGTCGGAGGCCTTGGCCCGATCCATTTTCTTGGTGGCCATGGGCAGCAATGACTATCTCAACAACTACCTTATGCCTAATTATGTGACCCGAAATCAGTACAACCCGAAACAGTTTGCGGATCTATTGATCGAGGAATACGGCTGCCAGCTCACCGTAAGATGATATTCTCGTGTGCACACACGATGTTTCTTTTTCATCTTACCATGCATGTGCGTGCCATTTTACGTCATCATTCATATTTAGTTAAAAATAAAAAATAAAAAAACTTGCAGAGGCTGTACAGGCTCGGAGCAAGAAAGTTCGTGATAGCCGGTGTTGGCCCGTTGGGCTGTATCCCGAGCATTTTGGCCCAAGGTGGTGGGGACGGTAATATGTGCGTGGAGGAGGTGAATCAGCTCGTCGTCCCGTTTAATGAAAACACAAAGGCCATGATCAACAATCTCACTAATAGTCTCCCGGACGCCTTGTTTACGTTCATCGACATTCGTAAAATGGTGGACAATATCCTTTCCAATGCTAGATCATATGGTAGCTAGGCTACCCACCTCATTCTTTTTTCTATTCATCATTTACGATTATTAATAGTTATTTTGGATGTTTTCTTGATGACGTCTCGTTCGCTTTTTTTTTTTTTTTATTCTAGGATTTAGTGTGGTGAACAGAGGGTGCTGTGGGACAGGGAGGAACAGAGGGCAGATAACTTGTCTCCCGTTCCAAACGCCGTGCCCGGACAGGAAAAAGTACGTTTTTTGGGACGCCTATCACACGACAGAGGCCATGAACATCGTGCTTGCTCAGAAAGCTTTTAATGGGAGCACTGATTTCGTTTATCCCGTGACCATCGAGCAACTCGCAAACCTTTGATACCATGTGTATTTGTGTGTGCATAGAAATGAAAAATAAAATGAGAAGCTAGATCTCTAAACATATGCTTGAATTGCAGTTGCAAGAGAACAATTATTTTGCTTTAAGGTATTTGGTGGGTTGGATTTCTTGAAATTAATGTTAAGAGAGTTAGGAGTTCATTTGTTATATTCATTTTTTTTTTTCCTTTCCCCGTGTGCTCATCCGTTCGTGAATAAAGTACACCGTGTGTTATAAACACGAATTCTGTTTGTGAAGAAATGACGATTATGCTTATCGGTCGACTTATCTGACTTTACTGCAGTTCACAATCACCTGAAAAAAAGTTCCATTTTACTGAAATGCACAACATTACTTTCTTTCCCCACAAGAACGAATCGAAAAGAAAACACAAAGAACGACGAAAATTACAGAAAAGTCGTGTCATCAGGCAAATCTCGACACGCACACATCCATACAAACATACAAACATTCCCTAGAGCATTGCCAGCTGCTGTATGTTAATTGGATAAGCATACGACTTAGACTTAGAGCTATAAGCTTTCTTGGCGAGCAAGATATTAGCCGTCTCCGTGGGGTGAAAAGCATCCCAGAACACGTACACACGTCGATCATCGCACGGCGTCTGAAGCGGAAGGCACGTAATTTGCCCGTTGTTCCTCCCCACACCACAACACCCCTTGTCCACCACTTGAAAACCGTAACTTTTCGCGTTCTGAACCAAATCCTTGCTGCTCTGGAACGAGTCCAAATACACAAACTTTGCCCCACCCTTGTAATTAAACTGGTCCACGATCCTCTTGAGGCCCGTGTTGAAAAGGCTTATAGCATTGTTGATCTCCTCATTGCACCGACTCCCGTTTCCTTCGTATCGTGCCAGCTGGTACGGTATGCACCCGATCTGCCCGACTCCAGCCAAGATAACTTTCCGAGCTCCCAGATTGTATAATGTCTGTATATTGTGTGAGGCATAAAATCTTGAAACTATAATAAAGAATATGATATATAACTAATTTTTTCGGAAAATAATAGGTACGTACCGTCAATTGTTTAGTGTAGTCCTGGATGAGAGAAGCAGCATAAGCTTTAGGTGTGTACTGAGAGCTTGTGGAATAGTAATCTGTCATGAAGTAATTATTTAGATAGTCATTGCTTCCCAAGCCCGCGTAAAATATACATTTGCTTAGGTAGGCTCCGAGCATGGCATCATTTCCTCTGAAAAACCTCCTCAGCTGCTGCACGGTGGCCGCGAAGCTGTCGACCTGCTGGTTCATCGACATGTGGTCTCCCTGATCACCCGAGTCCAAAAAATGTTAATGTTTTTTATAACCCGACGCGCGTAAAGAAGTTAAATAAAATAAAAGAATATCTATGTATGCATACCAAATTGTTTCCTGTTTCGTCTCTGATTCCAGAAGCTCCGGACGCGTAATTCGCTCCTTGAAGTAACTGGCGGCCACGGGCCCTGGCGTAAGGCGGAATGTAGTTCGGGAAGCCCAACAGTTGTGCTGGAGACAAAACACGCGCGGAGATAGTTTAACGAAAAGGTTACTAGATAGAATGTTTAAGACATTTTAGTTAGGAGGAACTAATTATTATGGAGGGACCTAAAATGTCGACAAAAGTGCGGCCATTGGTGAAACGTCCTGTGGTCCCCTGCGGAAAATCTATGCCGTAAGGCATGTAGTTTGCACGAGCGAGCGTGAGGATACCGTTATTGTTGCCATTGTCGACTAAAGAGTCGCCGAATATGTAAAAGCACGGGACTTGTGGCGATGCTCGGTTATTGGGTTGTGGATAGGCCTTCTGCGCCATCAAGCACCACGAAATGAAAACGAGGAACACGGAGGATCTGCTAGGAATCGACATTGCGAGCCTTTCTATTCGATGCGAATTGACTGTAAGTATATTTGGTCTGTTTAGCATGAACATGGTTGATGGGCTGTGTTGAGTGTGAGGAGAGTTTTATAGTGTGTGCTTCTTTTTGGTTACTTTTGTGTGATGAAATTTAAAGGACAGTCCGTGAAATGAAATTTTTTTGAAAGTGGTTTGTTGGATGGTGTTAAGTTTTTGTAGCTGTTCTTCACGAATTTTGGATGGCAAAACAGCGGTGGCAAAGAGGGTATTATCTCGTGACAATTCTTATTTCTTTCCTCAAGTCGTAACAACAAGGCAAAAGACTGCAATCCCGTCACAAAATGATTCCGTGAAGGTTTTTAGACACTATATACAGTTATTGTAGATACATGGAAATTACATGTTTATCTAATGGCTAAAAACCCTTACGAAATCACTCTGTGACGGGATTGTAGCCTTTTCCGTAACAAGACATAAGTGCGTGCAGATGCATTTATTGATTTTATTTATTACCTTTTGGCCAATTCATCTTTGAATACAATGTTTAGGTAAATATGTATAGTTTTTTTGGCTCGAATTTCTGTACAAGCTACAACTACTCATCATAGGCACCTTAAAATGTGTCTACTAGTCATATGTCAAGATCTCGTGATTTTTGAATTTCATGCTAATCGTGAATGGTACATAATCTCTTGCCAAATCAGCTGGTGAACATATAGCGACTTTTTCATTAGCGCAATCTAAGACTAAAAAGGATTCACTTCACTTTTTAACGAGAAACTAAATATCATGAGAGTTATTAGGGTGTGTTTGTAAAAGAAATAATTTGAGTGAATTAGTTCAAAGTGAGCTTTTTTTAGTTAACTAAGAATAATTTAGAAAAAGTGGTATAGTTAGTTTTTAGTGGGAGATTTTGAGTTTATATTAAAATAATATTTAAAAATGATATGAAGTAACGTTAACATTATGTGAGTGGATGAATAGTAAATTAAAGTTGATATGATGTGTAAAAATAAATTGTTGTTATTATTTAATAATTGATTGTAATTATTTAATTATATTGATAATATTGAAAATAATGTGATTGAGTTAAACTTGAGTTATATTTTGAGTATGCATTCATTTGGTTTGATATTTTTCATCATTTACATACATAGCCTTAATGACTTGGACTTCTCTTCACCACTCAAAGCACAAAGAGGATACACTTTTGTAACAACAAAATAAAAGTAATGAGATTACAACAATCTATGTAGAGATTTTTCACTATTTACATAACTAGCCTTAATGACTTGGACTTCTCTTCACCACTCAAAGCACAAGAGGATACACTTTTGTAACAACAAAATAAAAGTCATGAGATTGCAACAATCTATCTCTCACTCTACATATAAAATTGTAGGCAAAGTTTTTTTAATAAAATTATTTTGGTTTTTCCTGCATTTTTTGTTACAAATATATTTTATTAAAATTTTTTTTCCTTTCACATTAATACACCCTATTAGTAATGTTTCCTGTCCAATTTTTTAGCTACTTATTGTAGAAATCGTTACAATTATTTAATTATTATATTATATAATAGTAAATACTAAAACCAACTAATAATAATCACATTAAATGTTATATATATGGATATTACATATGCATAAAAAATTCTATTGCTATTTTTTTTCGAACTCTTTATTCTAAAATCAATAT